ACAAGAAACATCGGGCAGCACCGGGTGGCATAGAATGGGTCAATTGCTGCTCAAAATAAGTCAATTTGACAAGGCTGAAGAATTATATACAGCACTACTAGAACAAGCATCCAACGACAGTGATAAAGCATATATCTATAACGAGTTAGGTAGAGTGAAATTTCAACAAGGCCAATACGAAAAAGAGATAAAGTTTTACGAAAAAGCCCTCGAAATTAACCGAAGAATTCTTCCGGAAGATCATCCTTCATTGGCTAATACCTACAACAACATCGGTCTCGTGTATAACAACATGGGTGACTACTCGAACGCACTTGAATTTTACGAAAAAGCACTTAAAATAAGAGAAAAAGCTCTGCCTTCGAATCATCCCGATTTGGCTACTTCCTACAACAACATCGGTGGAGTGTATAAGAACATGGGTGACTACTCGAAAGCACTTGAATTTTACGAAAAAGCACTTAAAATAAGAGAAAAAGCTCTGCCTTCGAATCATCCCGATTTGGCTGCTTCCTACAACAGCATCGGTCAAGTGTACGATAACATGGGTGACTACTCGAAAGCACTTGAATTTTACGAAAAATCACATAAAATCCTAGAAAAAGCTCTGCCTCCGAATCATCCCTCATTGGCTACTTCCTACAACAACATCGGTGAAGTGTATAGAAACATGGGTGACTACTCGAAAGCACTTGAATTTTACGAAAAATCACATCAAATCTACGAAAAAGCTCTGCCTTCGAATCATCCCTCACTGGCTACTTCCTACAACAACATCGGTCTCGTGTATAACAACATGGGAGACTACTCGAAAGCACTTGAATTTTACGAAAAATCACTTCAAATAAGAGAAAAAGCTCTGTCTTCGAATCATCCCGATTTGGCTATTTCCTACAACAACATCGGTCTCGTGTATAACAACATTGGTGACTACTCGAAAGCACTTGAACTTTACGAAAAATCACTTAAAATAAGAGAAAAAGCTCTGCCTCCGAATCATCCCTTATTAGCTACTTCCTACAACAACATCGGTGCAGTGTATAACAACATGGGTGACTACTCGAAAGCACTTGAATTTTACGAAAAAGCACATAAAATAATAGAAAAAGCTCTGCCTTCGAATCATCCCGATTTGGCTTATTCCTACAACAACATTGGTATGGCGTATTCCGGCAAAGGAGACTACTCAAAAGCACTCTCATTCTTAGAAAAGGCACTTGTTATCTTCCAAAAATCACTTCCATCTAATCATCCTAATATTAAAACAGTTACAAACTCAATTGACTATGTAAAAAAGAAAATGTAACTGTAATTTTTTCTTTTCGCTTGCTCAATAAATTTATTCACATTGCTAATCGTTTCGATTGTTCTCGGCTCATTTTGGCTTATTCGCGCGCGCGCGACAAGGGAGAGATCCCTTGTCAATGCCATAGGTACCACAGGCGGACCACGCCGGACTGGTATGGCAATGGCCGAAGATATGCCGTATGAACGGTAGGGACCAACGACACATAGAGGCCTTCCCTAGCACTACACTGCTTTGCTATGGCACGAAAGTTCCTGTCTCTATTGAATCAGACAACGTAGTTCTCTGACCCACACTAATAACACTCATAACTCAACTCATCTCATCTCAAAAGTACTCATACTCATACTCATAATAACTGATAGTATTTATTTTTTCTTAAAATAACTTATCTCAACTCAATTCAACTCAACTGAATATATAAAAAAATTTTTTTTCTTACTTCTCAATATTGTATAGTATCGAAACTCATCTAAAAAAAATAAAAAAAAAGTTTTATTAAATATATAATGAATTTATTATTTACCTCATATAGAATTTAGTAATATAATTATCATTGTAAATAATATAATAGTAATAATAAATAATAATCCCGGGTATATAAATACATTGTAATGCATT